CCATTCTCTGTGCCTTTGGTGGCAGATGAGCACCCAACAAGAATAAATTCATTTTCCCTTTGGTGGAAACTGAGCACTGAGCTCCCCAAAATGCCTTCTCCCTTTGGTGAAGGATGAGCATCCAGCACTCCTAAATCCATTCCCCCTGTGCCTTTGAAGGCAGATGAGCACCCAGCAGCAATAAATCCCTTTTCCCTTTTGTGGCAAATGAGCACCCAGCACCCCTAAACCCATTCTCCCTGTTCCCTTTGGTGAAGGATGAGCACCCAGCACCCCAAAATCCATTTCCCCTGTTCCCTTAGTGAAGGATGGGCACCCAACAGCAATAAATCCACTTTCCCTTTGGTGGCAGCTGAGCCCCCAGCAGCAATAAATCCCTTTTCCCTTTGGTGAAGGATGAGCATCCAGCAGCAATAAATCCATTCTTCCTGTGCCTTTGGAGACAGATGAGCATCCAGAACCTGTAATTCCATTTTGCCTGTCCCTTGGTGAAGGATGAGCACCCAGGTGCAATAAATCCATTTTCCCTGTGCTTTTGGTGGCAGAGGAGCACCCAGGACCCCTAAATCCATTCTCCCTTTGGTGGCAGCTGAGCACTCAACAGCAATAAATCCATTCTCCTTGTGGTGGCAGCTGAGCACCCAGGTGCAATAAATCCATTTCTCTGTGTCTTTGGTGGCAGATGAGCACCCAGCCAGGTACAATAAATCCATTTTCTCTGTGCCTCTAGTGAAGGATGAGCCCCCAGCACCCCAAAATGCCTTCTCCCTTTGCTGAAGGATGAGCACCCAGCACCCCCAAACCCATTCTCCCTGTTCCCTTAGTGAAGGATGAGCACCCAACAGCAATAAATCCACTTTCCCTTTGGAGGCAGATGAGCACCCAGCAGTCCTAAATCCATTCTCCTTTTGGTGGCAGCTGAGCGAGCACTCAACAGCAATAAATCCATTTTCCCTCTGGAGGCAGCTGAGCCCCCAGCACCCCCAAACCCATTCTCCCTGTTCCCTTGGTGAAGGATGAGCACCCAGCACCCTAAATCCCTTTTCCCTCTGGAGGCAGCTGAGCCCCCAGCACCCCAAGCTCCATGGTCCCTGGGTGCTGCACACTCACCGTGCCACTTGCCCTTGTAAACTGTCCCAAAGGAGCCCGAGCCTATCCTGGTGGAGAGCATCACTTCACTGGCTTCTATCTCCCNGCTGTGAGACTGAGGGCTGGTGTCTGAGCTGTGCTGGAACCCCAGGGCTGCTCTCACACAGCACATCCTGCTCCTGCCTGGCCCTTGGCTGAAGGATCAGCACCCAGCAGCAAGAAATCCATTTTCCTTCTTCTCTTGGTGAAGGATGGGCACCCAGCAGCAATAAATCCATTTTCCCTTTGGAGGCAGATGAGCACCCAGCCAGGTACAATAAATCCATTTTCTCTGTGCCTCTAGTGAAGGATGAGCACCCAGCACCCCTAAATCAATTTTCCCTTTGGAGGCAGCTGAGCCCCCAGCACCCCCAGATCCATTTCCTCTGTGCCTTTGGAGACACATGAGCACCCAGAACCTGTAATTCCATTTTGCCTGTCCCTTAGTGAAGGATGAGCACCCAGGTGCAATAAATCCATTTTCCTGTGCCTTTGGAGGCAAAAGAGCACCCAGCAGCCCTACATCCATTCTCCCTGTTCCATTAGTGAAGGATGAGCACCCAGCAGCAATAAATCCATTTTTCCTTTGGCGGAAGAATGAGCACCCAGAAACCCCAAGATCCATTTCCCCTGTGCCCTTGGAGGCAGCTGAGCATCCAGCACCCCTAAACCCATTCTCCCTGTTTCCTTGGTGAAGGATGAGCACCCAACAGCAATAAATCCATTTGTGCCTTTGGAGGCAGATGAGCACCCAGCCAGGTACAATAAATCCATTTTCTCTGTGCCTCTAGTGAAGGATGAGCACCCAGCACCCCAAAATGCACTCTCCTTTTGGTGAAGAATGAGCATCCAGCAACCCTAAACCCATTTTCCCTGTGCCTTTGAAGGCAGATGAGCCCCCAGCAGCAATAAATCCCTTTTCCCTTTGGTGAAGGATGAGCCCCAGGTGCAATAAATCCATTTTCCCTGTGCCTTTGGAGGCAGATGAGCACCCAGCAGCAATAAATCCATTTTTCCTTTGGTGGAAGAATGAGCATCCAGCACCCCAAGATCCATTTCCCCTGTGCCCTTGGTGAAGGATGAGCACAGAGCACCCCTAAATCCATTCTCCCTGTTCCCTTAGTGAAGGATGAGCACAGACCATCCCTAAATCCATTTTCCCTGTGCCTCTGGAGGCAGATGAGCACCCAGCCAGGTACAATAAATCCATTTTCTCTGTGCCTCCAGTGAAGGATGAGCACCCAGCATCCCCAGATCCATTCTCCCTTTGGTGAAGGATGAGCACCCAGCACCCCCAAACCCATTCTCCCTGTTCCCTTAGTGAAGGATGAGCATCCAGCACCCCTAAATCCCTTTTCCCCCTGGAGGCAGCTGAGCCCCCAGCACCCCCAGCTCCACTGTCCCTGGTGCTGCCCCCAGTGCACACTCACCGTGCCACTTGCCCTTGTAAACTGTCCCAAAGGAGCCCGAGCCTATCCTGGTGGAGAGCATCACTTCACTGGCTTCTATCTCCC